CGTCTGTATATATAATAAAAAATAAAGCTTAATTAAAAAAAGGACTCTGTGGTGCCCTGCACCTGGGCATGCTCTTTCAAACAAAAAAAAATTTAAATATATTGAAAGAGCCTAGACCGAGAAATCTTGGACAAAAGATCAAAACGTCATAAACCGAGAAAAACGAAAACCATTTTTTAATTTTTCAAAAAACAGCTGGTTTTTCGAATAGGGGTTGACGAAAATCTTCGAAAATTTTGGACAAAAAGGAGGTATCGACGAAAACTTTTTATCAGCTATGAAAGAGCAGATCACGGGCTATCTTCCCATGCATTTATCTCCACTTCGACTTTTTTGACGAAAATTGACTTTTTTTTAGGGGGAGGGGGCCTGAAGTCTTTTATGAGTTGAAACGAAGATTTTTATCAGTTCACATCAATGCTTAACGACTTTTGCTTCATGAACTTTACTTTTGGTATTTCTTGTTGTACGATTTTAGGCATATTGGAACGCTGCTGATCACTTATATTACTGTATATAACGACATTTATGAAGGTAATATGCACCTTCGATTCTTAAAACGTCTGATTCTCTAAAAGTATTAGGATGTCATAGAAATGATTGCACGTTCACATGTTCGTGTTTCCGTCATTGGAAATGGAAATTAAAGTCTCATTTTGAATTTTTCAGTTACTATCGCCATGTAAATGATAGAACATGAGAATATATAAAGTGAAACAAAGGAAAAATCCTGAGATCAAGTTGAGCTTTTCAAAAGATTTTCTTCTTTTGTTCTCGAAAAAATCTGGGAGAGTGATGTCGCTTAATAGAATTGAGACTAGAAACACTAAAAGGAGTAGTATTGTTACGCAACCAGGTAGTATATAGATGTGATTGTAGATGTAGTACTTCTTTTCATCCAAAACATACAATTACCCACATCCTTTACAATCTACCATGTATGAATATCCGTACAAATGTCAAAACCTACTGTATTCAAACAGAAAATAGTAGAAATCTAACTTTTTGACTGACAAATAGAGCAAAGTGTGGATATTAACAATGTATATTTAAAATAAAATTTAAAAAGTTGATTGAAATATTAATTGTTGATTGTTTTTTAAGCTGATAAAAATGAATAGTTACATGGAAAAATTAGAAATTCTTTTATATCTGGATAATTTGTTTGCTTTCATCTTTTTTTCTAATGGAGTATAATTTTTGAGCAGCTGTATTAGTGATGATGGTTAGGAAACAATTCAAATCAAACAGACGAAAATTAAAATTTATAAAGACGACGAAGTCGGCGCTCAATTATACACTGTACCCATCTTTTGTTCTGTCGTTGATGAGATCAACGAAGTATGAGTTTTTAGTTCGTTGCCACACCTATATTTTACTCTATCTGTCAGAGAAAAAGTTAGCGTTTTAGCATTTTCAGCATGCTGATACTTCTCCATGACACATTGTATGGTGCATAAGAACTGATTAATACGAAAAAAATCTTTTCTTATCTAGTAAAATTATTTCTTGACTTCTCGAAGTTAATATTTTTTTTAAACTGAACATCAAATATCTTGAAGTCGTGCGACTGGCAGTGCAAAAATAGTGTATACATCCTCCAGTATTCAAATAATTGTCAGTCTTCTTCAGTGATAAAAGCAGATTTTGTCTACGTTTTATACGGTGAGTGTGGGCTATCAAAGCAAGATTACATCGATACCCACATTCATCACGGCACAGAACGTGAATCTTGTTTACTCGGATGACGTCCGAGCCAGTATGATTTTGAACTATGATCGCTCATGGTTGGTTTCTATAGTCTTTTTCTTTTTACAGACGGCAACATCTGCACTTCTTTCCATCTAACGCTCCTCTTTTTGATTTCGGACTAGCGACCGGCACGAAAATCCCACAATGAGATATCGTGGTCGAGTTCTGGCACATATTAGTTTTTATTCAACATATTATCGACTGGAAGTTCGAGGCAAATAGTCCTACGTGTCTTGTCTAAGGTCATTACATGACTCTAGTGATACCAAGGTTTGAACTCAATAATCAGTGATCATGTGATGAATATATAACCACTGGCCCATATCGCACTGTTTGAGAGAAACCACAGATTTTTTATTGAAAACCAAGTAAAATCTCTTGTTATCTTGCGAAAGAAGACTTGACAAATCGAATCATTGTAGACTTTTCTATTACTCATTAAACGAGCAGCGTATCGATAGAAAAGCAATTGGACATTTGAGGATGTTATTTATATCATCAGTGATATCATCAATATTTACACATACTTCACCTACTCTACTCTACTTGATAAAATATTGATTTGAAAAATTCCAATTATATATGTGATTGTATGTAATTACTAATATCAACAATTTTCTAATTAAAATGTAAATTAAAAATATCTAACGAAAGTAAATAATGAATAGTTCTCTTTTGGTGCAATACTACGTTTGATGCAAAATTACGATTGAGTGAATCGAACTTTGTTGTTTTCAACATGATTACGAAACCAGAACGAAGGACACTTGGTTATTTAATCGAAGAAAATGTCATGTTCTGAAATTACAATACCGAGGAAGAAGACTCACATTCTGATATATATACAAGATCTTGAGTAATATATTGTATCTACCTATATATATATAGTGGTTGATTTTCAATTGAACTAGTTACAAACTTTCGTAAATAGAAGTGTAACAATGTCAAACACGTTTTACCACCGACAACGTCGAATTGGATTGGAATATATAGGACAAACAACACAAGTACCGAATAATGATATGGCATAATTAATATATTATTTAAGTTCCGTATGTAACGCTGTCAAATGCAATATGACTCCACTGATGCGCCGTTTGACTAATTATCACAATGCAGGATCATTGCCCACCATTGAAGCTCGAGCACTGATTAGGATGTGCTACATATTCAGTTCCGATGTCCTATACAATAAAGTCTTCTTCCAACGTCCAGAATTATGTGAAAACAATGGAAATAGATTCTATGAAATAAGTCAAGTGACTCATTTACTTTTTGTTGCTTCCACCATTTTGGTGGCTGGTCAACGTTAACGAGTGAATAAAATCATGGTCTACAAAATGTCATGGATGATTAAAAATTGGATCGAACCGATGCAACATCTTGTTCAATATTTGAAAAGTCAATAATTTTACTGAACTCATTCAGAGCTGTAGTTTCTCATTGATAAACTCGATCTATTTGTAAAATAAACTATCATCTATTATTTCTCCGATATAGCCTTATGTTTACTACCAGAAAAGAGATATATTCGAAGATATAGAGTGTTTGAATGAATATTAAAATGCATGGTGCAGGCATTCACGTCATTCTATTTGATGTTGTGTCAACACGTTGTTTCGTCAAGGTCACATGAAAATTTCTTAATAAAATATGCAAATGTTTGTTTTTGGTAAGCTGAGTTACTATCTGTGTTGTCTATCATTTCGACAGATAGAGAAAAAACAAAAAAACAAAACCTTACAAAATGAGATTAGAAAATAAAATGAAGTTCGCGACACGAATTTCAAATGTAAAAAATTTATTTAGAATAATTATTAATCAGAAACAAACGTCTTGACAGAACATTTATTTGCCATGAGACAGCTAAAGAATCATTCAGATCTGAAATATAATATTTTCGAAGAAGAATAATCACTTAATAACATGCTGATTTTAAGCAAACAATCAGAAGTAAGTAAAATAATCTATCACTTAAAAATTCATACTACATGAATTTCTTTCTGCACATCTTCTAAGATTTCACTCTTTTCCATCGATACAAAACGTTAATCATCAGCCGAAAAATTACTACTGCAGAAATATTAAATATTTTTGTTTCCATTATAACATTCTAAAATAATTTCCAAAAACAAAAAATAAATCGCCTATTGTTACAATTATAGAAAGTGAAAAACATTATTTTGAAAATTTTCAGTCTTCATGATGAATATTTTGTGAAACATGATCTAAAAGGACTCTTAAAGTATATAGAGTAGAAACTTTCACCCCCACCTTCTCTCCCCTCTCCCACAGATTGTGAAAAACGACAACATGTCTCGTCACAGATGTTTCTGATGCACAATTATCGATTATACGTATATCAGTAATCTTTCATGAAAAAATATAAACTGTTTCCTTTTTTGCACTTCTAGAGGATTAAGTGAAAGTCGATGACTAATCAGTTCGCAGATAGATCTAATAAAACAATACTTTGGTGATTAGTAACAACTGCTATATCGTGTTTCACATTGTAATCCGGCAGTGATTGCGCTAACAATTTTTTTCATGTGAAATTAACCTTCTAATAATTCTGATGGCAAAGCCTCGAGGAAGAAGCAGCAGGGTTTAGACTTCCGAAAAAGTAAATTTCCTTCATGAATTATGAAATTTCAGAAACAATCGAATAGTGAAAGCGACACTTGAAGATGCGGGTGGATCTAGATGCGAGTGTTGGACACAACTATACCTACAACCCCATCCTCAAATATTCATAGTACTGTTGTTGATGTACGATGAGTTTCATTGAGTCATTCATAGCTTAAAACATTGACAGTTGACTTGAGATAAACAACATCTCCAGTATATTAAAAAATAAATTTTATCATTTCATTGCTGTTGTGCAATTTATTACCTTATGAAATGACGACCTCAGTTCCATTATGAAGTAAATATTTTAGTTCGCTTGCTTATGATTCATCTCTGTTAATATGGTCTTATCTTTCATACTGCATACACGATGTCACATAACGTGCTTCTGTTCTGTTTGTCATTGTTTTGTTTTTTTGTGAAGGCTTTGCTTTTTTTTTGTTCTCTGTTCTAAACAGTCAATTGCCATAAAAATTATTTTACTCAGTAACATAAGAAATGTATAATACATTTTCTTTTTGCTTATTAGAAACATTCATCAAGCACTAATTTACATTTTTCATTATCCAATAGATCATATAACTGTTATGGCATACTTCGATCTTGATGCGAATCCAACGACTTCAATCAAATCAAAATCGAGTGGAGGCAAAACACCGATCGATGTTTCTAATTTTCGTCCAGTAAACAAAAAACCTATTGGAAATGATTGGGATGTTAATCCGGGAGATATACTCTCATGGAGTGATTATCGATCTGGTAATACTTATTTGTAAGTCTTCTAACGCAAATTGAAAATCATTTTAAAGAAGTTTACTATGAAGGAGCATAAAAAGAAAACATCTTAATCTAATTCCGATCACGATTGAGTGAGATAATTTTTGTATTAGATTGGTATTACACATCTGAATGAACATATTTTGATCAATATTGATAGTCATTATTTTGATTGAAGGGGCGAAACAAATATAAGAGATCGTATGATTTGTCTTAACTATAGGCAATTTCATGGTTAAATGGGCATCGGTATTTGTTGAATAACTTGACAACAGAAGCAGTTAACGACCTACGGTTTTCACCATTCGAGTGAAAGAATCCAAGGCTATCAGAGTATATCTATCGAATTTTAATTCGTCAGCGATCATATTATTAGTTAGCAACTGACCAATCAGGTGAGTTCGTAGTGAAGATTATAGAAACGATGTTCCGAAGCTTTTTTTTTTCAATGTAGAATTGTAATAGGACTATTCAATAGGAAAAAAAGTCCTTTTTTTTCGATCTACACAAGGTTCACACTCCTCTCTAGTCGCATTCACGAGTTATAAGACATTTCCTGAAAGACCTCATTTCAGCAAACTGACCTCTTATCACCAAGAAAAGTATCTACACAGAATAATTCCAGCAGTCTTCAGACTTTCGAAAAAGTAAATTTTTTTCATGAATCATCAAATTTCAGAAAGTGTCACATGGCAAAAGCGAGTCCTACGAAATGTACGGAAAAAAGTTTGAAAACCATAGATAAAGCAATTGTAGTAATTCAGCAAAAATCATTCAACATATTCAATAGGAATTTCAAGAAAACTTCAATGACTTCTATCGCTTTATACATATTGCTTACCCGAAAAATGAAAAATGATACACAACCTTACCCATTATAACACTCAGAATTTTCAGGAATTAAGGTAATTCCCAGAAAATTATAGTCATTTCGGAGAATTTCTCATAGTTCCCGCGCTCTCGCAATAATAAACGTAGCTCCTAAAAATTTTGAATATTTTTCAGACAGGGTTGTCTATTCTTATGGATTTATCTCGTTATTTATGATGAGAGTCGTAGAAATTACTGAAGTTTTCTTGAAATTATCATAATTTCTGGGTGACTTCTAAATATGCACGGAATTTTCTGAAATCGTTAGTAGTTTATATTTTCAGCCGTCCTTCTTCTTATAGAGGAGTTCGATATGTCGAGGTTTTTTCAAAGAATTTCCGTATTTACCATATATTGCTGTTAAATTCTGAAATTATTACGCTATTTTTGTCATCATGCAGCAATTCCTTTTCTTTAGATCAATTTGCAGTTTGATATATTTTGAATATTTTGTAATTTCTACGGAATCGGCCGAAATTCCCATGAAATTGCTAACTTTTGTTGTGGATCGACTAACGAATGAAACTAGCTTCGAAATATCAATTTCTTAGTTTTCATTAAGATTTCATCTTATTAGTTCGGTATTGATCAATCATTTTTCGATAGACTTTAGTGATTATGCGTCTTCTTTCTTGAACAGTGAAAATCGCAGGTTGCTAGTTACTTCCATTCTCAAGTTATTCAAAAGATGTTTACGACTATTTAGCTCTGAAATAGACTATTGTGATAACATTTTGTACTGAAAAGAATAAAAAAAGAATCGAATCATTCAATCGTTTGATGAATAAAATGTCATAGTTTCTGTATCTAATAACAGGATTTCTAAAACTATTGTTTTATTTTAGTATTACTGCCCAGCGTCGTCTTCGTAAGAATCGAGATACATCAGGTTCTGGTTATTTGACTATTCCTCTTTCGATAACACGTCTCTTTCCATCTGCTTTAACTCATTATGGTTCACTTCTTGAAGCTGAACCAGATCTAGTTGCTATAATCGAATTATCGTCAACGGATGGGATTTTCGTCGAGAAATTCGGATCACCACTACCAGAAACTATTCGTAATAGAAACGATATTCTATATTTAGTTAATCCTATGGAAAATATGCTATATGTTTCAATAAATGGCAATGATAGTGGTGGATTTCCAATCGATGAAACAACGACAGAACAAATCGTCGAGTATATCAATTTAGCCAATGAGAAAAAAGCAGCATTCCTTATTAAGTGTGAAATAACAGTAAGATGATCTTGGATCTAACACTACTGTAGTTTCTAAAGTACAACTTCATAAAAAAAAACGAAAATTTTTAAAAAGGACAAACCGCTATATTATCTAATGAAAAAAATATTCCGTTCATCGTTCTATCGTGAAACTTGTACGAAAATCTTAATTTGTTTTTCTAGGGAAAAGAGACAGTTGATAAATGGCCACATGATTCAATTAAGAATTTGCCTGTTGGATGGACATGTGAGCTTAATGGTGGCTTTGCATCTGGTTCTGACTTTATAAAAGGTACATGGAAATGTCAAGGACCTGAATCAAAAAAAGAAGACGCATACAAAATTGTGGAAAAATACTATGAAGGATTTGATGTTCATATAACTTGGGAAACCGATTCAAGTTAAATAGAATTCAACACATCATGTTGCTTATGAAATCTATATTGAATAGAATAACAACTTTATATGAATTTTAATACAAAGTATTGATTTTAAAACTCCTACCAACAATATTTTTGTTATTTCTATTTTTTAAATTTTTAAATAAAGACATGCATGCACTCATTTTAAATATTACACCATGTTCAAACGATCAAGATGTTAACTCTTATTCTTGAATAAGATTAGATTTGATTCAAATACAATACAATACAAAACGTTACTGCTGAGGGAAAGTTTTCACCTGATAAATTTCCTTTGAATTCGAACTCAGTACATAAGATAGAGCTCAGGGAGGGTGTGGGTGTGAGTTGAGAGTAGATTTAAGTGTTCGTAGTTGTGGATCTTCTCTTCATCAAAATCCACACCTCAGGTAGTTCGTTTCTCTATCATGTTAATTGAAACAATTACATAAACAACAGCAGAATTATGAAACACTTATACTACCATTGTTTGTTTATGATGGACAAGCAAAATTTGGTATGAGAGAATTAGAAAAAAATTCATGTGAATGTTGCTGGTCTTATATCAATGAACACATTTTTATTCATTATAACTTATTGTTCTGTAGCCACTGCTTAATATTTCTGTTGCTGACAAGAATACATCCATACTCCTGCAAATTACAGTAAACGATTCCAAAATCTGAGAAGATTTCAAACATTTGCTCATATTAATAAGAATATTAAGTTTCAAAATGAAAAAGAAGTTCTTTTCCGTATGTCCTCTGTATTTAAAGTGATTTCTGTTGAAGATGATAAAGATATGCAAAAATTCACCAATGAAATTCAAACCGATCTCTATCAAAATTTCTGATAAACAGTCATTGTTTATTGTCTTTAAACAATTCTTTACAATTGCTTCACTTACTCATATTAGACCATTGACTGAATTTCTCAAATATTTTCTTGTCGTTCTTACATAACTGTTTGTTATTAGTGCTTATAAGAAAGAAGATCGAATGAAAAAACTGATTAATATGAAAATCTACTTTCCATGCATTCGTAATGAAGACCAACACTAATGTTGTTCATTCGAATCAAATGTTCGTCTATTTATATAACATCTTTACTTCGCTTTAGTGGATTTTTATTTTTGACTAGTGATTGTAATAAAGCAATTTAATATTTTCAAATATTCAACAAACATACATATCATATCAGATGCAAGTTATTTCACGATGAAAGAAAAACAATAAACATTGAATTCTTTTGATAATGCCTTACAATCATTTGAATCATGCACAGTACAATCTACACCATCACGACTTACAGCTTGCATTGCTTTGTCACGAATTACACTGAATCAGCCTAATCAACACATAAATTGAGATTTTTTTGGATATTGCTATTTTATTGTTACGCTCGGAAGCGCTTACATGAGGATAACTTTAAAAGTTAATAGTACAGCATATTTAGAAGTTCATATTCTTTACCACAGGCTATCATACTACTTTTTAAGCTGGTATAGGAGGAGAAAAAAACATAAGGAGAGAAAAAAAGAACAAGAAAATGCACGTGAGAAACAAAAATGGAAGGAAAAAAAAGAAAAGAGGTACAGGAAGAATAAAAAGAAAGGCACAGCGATGCACACATGGATATTTAATCAACAAACTCAATTCATTTAAGCAGTAGAGTTTCATGTCTATCTTTCAATTTTTCACTCTTCTCATCCGGAAGAAGTGACCCATATTATCTCCTCTACTTTTGTTATAACTGTCCCAAAAAAATATATCATTGAAAAAAGGCGAACATCCTAAATCAGTCTTATTCATTTGCTTTAATCTGTTTTTAATGTATTTTTTAACATAGAAGTCAAGAGGGTTTTCATTGATTATTGCAAATAGATTCTGTTTTGATACAAAAAGGATACCGATGAACAAGTCTCATCCCTGCTTGAAATTTACATCGCAGGGTTTCTTGATGGATTTTTGATAGCATCGGAAAAAGAGGAAATAGCCAAGCGATATGTAGAAATGTATATGCAAAAAAACAAGTTCGTAATACTGTTGTTGACAACGATTTTTCTGATCTTAACCGTTTTAATTTGCCAAGAGACCTCCGTATATTGTCGGTACATCTGTCAATTGTTGGTTTTAATGACATTTTACTACTATCGGCACCAGAATTCACGGCAGTCGGATGTTTTTTGAATAACTTTTCATAGGAACAAGATAGAGACCTGCGGTTTTCAGCATTTGATAGCCAAGACCCAGGAGCATATTTTCATAAGCGAAATCTTTGCTGAAAAAAATCTGCAGATCTGTTTTTCAGCGGATCTTCGGAAAACCACGCTGGATTCCTGAAAACTACCATAGGAGTATATTGATTTTTTTACATATACGGTATCAGCATCGAAAACTGAGTCGATTCATGTATGTTTCGAATCTTTTATTAATATATTTATTGATTCAGATTAATGTAACGATTTTATGATTGACACTAATCTGAATAAATTTTTTTATTTATTTATAATTATTAGAAAAATCTTGCTGATATTCAACATGATGATAAATAAAGAAGAATTCATTGATTTTTTTTTTCATATTGATATATGATCTACAAACGAATGTGATTGACAAGTTTGAACATTATGTATTTTGTTGATATACTCAACAGAGCTTTACAGATGCAAGACACTAATATTATTTTCAACATGAATTTTTATTATCAAATCAAAGAGTTTTACTCACTTACAACATAAACGAATACAATGACCGGGTTTTCGAGAACGACAATTGTCCAATGATCATTTTGAGAAAAGTAAGACAATAACAAGAATAGAAAAATCTTTCTCGATATTAGATAAACTTCTTTTAACATATGTATAAAAGCAAAGTGGGGAAATATCTTTATTGTTACTAACAGTAATCATATATTTAGATTGACAGCAGGAACGATCTTAGACATAACAAAAATTCATATAGAAGAGAGAGATAGAAGAGTATAGGAACAAATAATAGATATCATTATCGACATATAACAGTTTAGATTCTTGTTTCTTGTATCGAAGATTGTTGCACTGCTTCATTATAAGTAGGTGGTGGAGTTTCCATAGCTGTTGTTGTCTGTTGCTGTGATGGTGTTATTCTAAATTCTGTTTGATAACGTCGTCTTAATTTGTGAAGTATTGCAGCTGTAACAAGTAGTGGCACACCACCTAAAAAAGACCTACAGGCTTTCAATTTCGATGGTTTATCCCATTGCCAACCCCATTGAATAAAGAATGTTTGATTTCGAGAATGATAACATGAATATGTCTCATTTATCTAAAGATGATAAGAAAAAAAACTGTTATAAAAAGATTTAATTATATTTTAATAATAAAAGTTTGAATTAAACCTTATATTGTTGTGCTACATTCCATGCTTCGCTTTCTGATGTTAAACCAGTTGATGCAATTAGAAAATCATCTATTATTTGATTGTCATGAACTACCGTTATATTCCAACGTGGATAAAGATTTCTGTCGAGAAATTTTAAATCAATTGATTTAACTTGACATTGATGAATGGCAAATGTATTTAATTTATACAGCTCTTTTAAACCAGCAAATGATAATAAACCGCCAATAAAGTAGCAGCAAGTAATAAGACTTAGAACAGGAAAATTGTGTTCCTTACTCAAATATTGTTTGATCGTTAAAGAAGAAAAAGACAATGACATGTCAACTGAAGAGAATATTTATATTCACTGTCTAGAAAACAAAATAAGTAACATTATAGTATTGTATGCATTATTTATCCTTATGGAAAGAAATTGACGAAAAAAATGGAGTGACTGAATATTTCTTTTTTTCTTTATTCTTCTATATGTGAGTCATCAAATGTGTTTTGAACGTGACCCCTTGACCGATACATCGAATGTCCTAAACTTTTAGTAGCTACGTATGTCGGATGAACTGATCGAAATTGACGATCACGAAAAATAATCGAAATTGACCAATGGTTTTCGATCAGTTCGTACGACATAGGTATTCCTAAATATTCTCTGTCAAGAGATTTTTTTCGAAGAAAGTCACTTATCAAGATTAATATATAAAGGGCTTAATAGTATTTCGTTAGAATATTGTGAGTGTAACTATCATTTTCACATACTCACATCCTACTTGGGAAGTTCTCAGGAGTGAATCTTGACCTAGGATATCCTACGTTTGTGTCACTGTAATTCGAAAACGAGATTTTCATATTTCTCTTATTGCTTTTCTTTCGTTCTGTTGTATTACATGAAAAATGTTTATACAAATTCTTCCGTATAATTAAGATTTAGCAACAGTAAAATGAGAAAAAGTGATTAACTGTGTATGAGTTATTGATATTTTTTCCCATTCCTGGTGAAAACCATCGATCGACAAGGATGAAAAACATAGACAATCAAAAATCCAATTGTTTTTCTTTTTGGGAAATAAAACAAATTGTGTAGTTTATAGAATTATCAATTATTCAATGGTTTCCGTAGTATTGATGGTAAAAAAAAAACATTTATAAAACAATTCTTCTTTTTTTAATTTTTATGATTTTCGAAATGAAAGTTTTGATTCGAAAAAGAAGAGCAATTCTATGTCTCCTAATATTAGAACTTAACAAATAACTAAAGTTCAGAATTAAAATGAATAAATACATTCATAAAAATCATTCTACGATAATCAAATATAATCGAATTATTCATTTTGTTTTTAGTCGATATTATTTGATTTGTAATAGTTTTACAAATAGTTCAATCAAACAAAAAATATATTAAATTAATATGAACAAATGTCTAAATATAATCTTTTTAAACGTTTAAATAAATATTCAATTAAAATTCGTTTAACTGCCAAAAAATAAATTCTTCAAAACACAAATAACATCTTAACTGTATCATGATGTATATTACTAGACAAATAAAAACATTCTAGAAATATTCATATATATTTGAGATAATATTGAATAAGAAACAGAG